CCCCAACAATGCACATCTCTGGATCAGTCCAACAGGAATGCCCACCTCAATGGCTCTCAGATTGTCCTTCAATCTCAGTGGTATTGATCCCAATGCTCCTACTACCGCTGGAATAACCTTTGTCGTCACACCCCACATTTTTCGAACTTCTCTTGCTAGATCTTGATACTTTTCAACTTTTTCATTATTATTATTATTATTATTATTATTATTATTATTTATTATTATTATTATTATTATTATTATTATTATTATTATTATTTTGTACTCACCTATGTGTCGATTTGAACACCTGATCTCTGACCTTGCAGTCCACCTTCATCTTCACTAAGCCATGCAAGCAATCACTGCAAATTTTTTGGTCTAATTTTTCTGGTCCCAGACCAGACTCTCCCTTCCCCTTTGATGTAAATTAAGCTAGGTTGAAAACATTCTGACCTATGAACAAATTGACCTACAACAGATACTAATACAAATCAGGCACTCATCATCATCTATGCTCTCTATGTGCCTAGTTGGCAAACAGGGCTTCAGGAAATCTTCATCACTTATTCTGGTTGATGGCCACTTGGCAGGCCTCCCACCAACTCTTCCATCCTAGCTCATCATTTCTCCTCTTTTCAGCCATTTTATGCCATGTTTTTCTTGTTCTTCCAACTCATCTCCTACCCACTAGAAGCCAGCTTAATGCTTTTCTAGGATTGTAACCAGGCTGTATACTCAAATCGTGGCCAATCTATCATCATCACCTCTCGTTTACTTCCTTGCTGACTGAGGAAACTTGGCCTGACTTAGTCGTCAGGGCACCAGCCATATAATAAATCATCGTTGATACATCTACAACATTCTTAATGTATGCCACTCTTTCCTTTGCAGCAATTTGCCATGGGTATCATTCCACTTTGCTCAGAACAATTCAGGAGAACATTCAATACAACCAGGATCCCACTTAAAGAACAAGGTGTGGATGCTAATGATAATGTGTTCTGATAGAGAACAAGTAACTCTTAATATTGCTTTTTGTAGACTATACCAATCCTTTTTCACTGTTATTATTGAGTAGTACTAATGTTACCTTTCCTTCACAAAAACAAGGATAACTTCTAACATTTATTAAATGTATTATTGCTGCTTTAGATCACCTCCATCATCATGGTGCAACATCACACACGGTAATCTACCACCGAGGAAGATTCTTCAGACTTGAAGCTTTCCATCGTGGAGTGCTGTTGAAGCCTGCCGATCTGGAAAGGTTGGTTTATAATAAAAATAAATGAATTTCAATGTGTTTGAAATGTTGTTTTCTATTTGTCAGATTATATTTATGTGAATGATTTGCTTGTGGATGATTACATTTAGCTTGTTTTTTATCACAAAGGCAGTGGCGACATCATGCCACCAAAGTGTGTTTTACTGTGAATTTACTGCTTCTCTTTTGTAGACAAATTTTGAAAATTCTTCAGGATGAGTCGAAACCAGTCCCAGGGGAAGAACTTCTGCCAGCCATGACAAGTGCTGACAGGTTAGTACATGAATATTTCGTAGTCCTTTTTTGTCTTGTTCATTGCCATCTATCACTGTGGGCTGAGGTAGGACTAAAGCATTTGATGCTACCTTCTTCTTGATGCTTTAGAAACCTGTGGGCTGAGACAAGGAGTACGTACTTCAGTACTGGTGTGAATAGGCAGTCACTGGGTTGCATTGAAGATGTAAGTTTGCCATGTTAGTTAACAACAAGACGCTTTAGGAAGCATAACTGGGTTGCATTTATGACAGTAAATATTTCAGAATAATTTGGAAAAAGGAAATGGTAAATTGTACATGCAGCGTGGAAACCTAGATATTACAATGGTATATTTTAGGCTCAGTTCAATAATGTTATACACAGTTAAATTTCTGCAAAATAGAAGAAAGAAAAATATGAAAGAATCAAGGAAAAACCGAAGGTTTTGTCAATGTTGATGTGTTAAACTCAAGCAGTTACCTTTCTCATTGATGTACTTGTTGTTTAGGCAAAATGACTGCCTCCATTTTAAAAGTGGAATTTCAAGGCATATAACAATTTTACATAAAAGAGTCTGCATATGAGTCAAGCAGCCCATCAGGACTGTATTTATATCTGGTTTACTTCTGTAGCACGGAGCAACCAGGAGTATTTCTACTCCTCCCCCATGGATGGGATGCTACAGTCCATCACAGGGTTACCCCCAGTGGTAAATTTTGCACTTAAGCCGGCTAACAGCAACATGAAGAAATAAACTGATCATATCGCGATCTCAATCATTTTTCTGATTCTTTATTAATGCAACTTTCCTCAGTGAGAGACAACTGTGTACCTATCTTCACACTGTCATCAGCACTGACCATATTGTTACTCACTTTGAACAAAAATATCACGGGCACGTTGGCTGTCATATTTCGCCTTAGTGTCAATTCCTTTGCTAAGTTCCACAACTATGACTGTAAACAGTGCACTAAATTATACTAGGCTTCCAACAAGTTCAAAAGCTGGAAATCACCAGGGAAAACATTTAAAATCTCACTTCATCATGGCTCCAATTATTTCCTTCATGTTATCTGGTTTCAGTTTCTTCGGGAAGGTATTGTTGCTTATATCAGGCATTGGACTGAATTGATCACTGTACCTCTCTGATTCCACATTTCTTGAATTCATCTGTGTAGCTAAATAGCCTCAGATTAAAAGCACTAACTGAAGTCACTCGGAAGGTTTCACTCTAAAGGTTTCCAATATTAAGTCTTCCAATCAACCAACAGTACTGGATAACAGTTGAACCAAGTTCACTCTGAATGCTTCACTGTTAAGTCAACCTGAAGTTTCCACTCTAAAACTGGCAGCACAAACAGTCTTCTGATCGACCAAGAATAGATTTTTCTGTCATTCGAAAGACGCAAGGGAAACAAAGCACACACACAATGTCTTCTGGGTAGCGATTGCGCAATTTAGCCATTTTTTGACGCAGGAGACAGCCCCGTTCGCATTTTATGACTGGGTTCGCCTACAGCAACTGAGTAAAAAGTGTCTATCTACGTGTACAGGACATGCTTGAGTATTTTTGGTCAGTGATCTAATTGAAGATACACATACAGGATTTAAACAGGTGACATCACTGCTTGGGTGTTTCCAGTAATTCACACTATTACAGCCAAGTCTTGTTATAGCAGACATGCCTGGGGATGTCGTTTAGTGTCCATAATAGTAAGAGTTCATAATAGTGGGGTGTGAAATAAAAAGTGCCCATAACATGGAGTAAATAACATAGACAATGTCTTTGAAGACTACTGTGCAGGCAAAAAAGGAATTGATGTGAAAATAAACATTCCAGAAGTCTTTTGAAGTGCATTTTGTCAAATGATGAACAGCAGACTGTAATTTTACATAATTATGTTATATGAGAAGTAAGTAGTGTCTGCTTTATCAAGAGTCAAAACAATAAATTGTCACTTTGGTACCACGAAAGTGTCCGTAATTTCGTAATAACGAGTATCCGCAATAGCGAGAGTCATTTCCAGTCAAATCTCTTCAGCTTTTGCCAGGGATCTGAATGTTGTCCTTAATAGCAAGCATCCATAATAACGGGGTGTCTGCAAGGTGAGAGTTGACTGTATATGTGGTATATGGCTAGCTCTGTGAGTGGGCAAGATAAACCAAATCCTGCACTGTGATTGGTTACAATCTTGCCTGCTTGGGACTGCCTGCTTTGTCCTGCAAGAAAAGTTTCCCTGAAAGCCGCATAATAAATCCGTTATTGACCAAGCTTGTTTGGTCAAAATGACTGGATATTGACCTCATTCTTTTCTGGTGAGTTTATAGACCTTGACGCCATCTTGGCCCATAAACATATCCAGCCATCTTGACCTCAAGCTTGGTCCATAACCCATACATGTATGTATTGGAGAGCCCTGTTGGCACATGCCAGCACAATTCCAGTGTAGTTAGTTGGACATCAACAAGTTTTGTTGCATTGTTATTGGTGTCTGACTATCACAGTTAAGTCTAGTTCCGTATGCCTAGAACAAGTTTGCATGAGTCATATCAACCAGATTGTTCTGGACTTTGGGACTTGCACATGTTCACACATTCAGTCACATGTTACTTCTAAAATTCAAGGAATATTTTTAAATGTACTTCCAAACATTGTTGCTGATTGGGGACATTAATTTGCATATCTAAAATTTCCCCATGGTTGTCAAATTTTCAGGCAGCAGTGTTCTTGAATCTGGAGGACTTGGAGATGAATTATGGTGAGGTAAGAGTGAGTGGTGGCATAATGTGTTTAATTAGATGTATAATTCAATTCAAGATGTTTACAAAGTTAATCTAAAGTACTTGTATCTCAAAATTTCTTAATCTGGTTCTTATCAGCAGGCATGATTTGAGTACCAATGAGATAGTTTGATCATATTATGCCTGTGTAATTGAACAGTTAAATGTTAACTTGTAATGCCTGACTACTTAAACAATACATATTAATTCCATGTACTGCACTTGAATGGATTCCTTCTCCCATGCACTTCAAAAAGAACTCACAGAATTGTTTAATATGTCTAAAGTTCTATGTATTCTTTAAATATCAGGAAGAGTCTGAAGATCTCGATTCTCTCTGTCGATATCTACTTCATGGCAATGGCCACAGTTGCTGGTTTGATAAGTCCTTTTCTGCATATATCTTCAAGAATGGCAGGGTAGGTTGAGTAGACTGGACAGAACATAAAATGCAGTATTTTGTATTGCAAACCCCTTCACATTCCCTCAGCACAGGGTAATTTTAAACTGTAATATCCTGAGTAGCTTTGCATATGTATGAAATGACTGGCAAAGCGGCTGCCTGGTTAGGCCTACTGGGCTCTGGACTTCATGCTACATGTATGAGGTTGGATAAGTTAGTTCCAGTGTGGGCCAGTTCAGCTATAATAATTATTACCACTCACAGACTTATGGGAGCATGTATTCTCAAATGAAAAAAAAACTTAGAACAGCATCCAAAAATTACAATTATTAGTGTAACATGGTGTTCTTTGTACAGTAAGATTACTGTTTCAAAACTACCACTGACTGTATTGAGTTCCACTGTTTTGGAAAATAATGAATATCTATGGTAGATGGAGCTGTAGGCATGAAGTACTAAGGTTAATGTTCTAGTGATAACTTTGTTAATACTAAATTATTAAGGATGCTCTTGTTTTTTCACAGTTTGGCCTCACTGCTGAGCACTCATGGTATGAGCACATTGTCCGCTTTAAATTTTATCTTTCAAAAGAAATTTCTTATAGAAAATAGTTTCCTGCATTGTTGATCACAGCATACAAAGGACAGATTTCCTTTTTGCATTTGCAGGGCAGATGCCCCAATTGTTTCTCACCTAGGAGAGTATGTGCTAATAGATGATGTTCAGATGTTAGGGTAAGGTGATATTATTATTGAGTAAGTAAATGAGAACTTTATTCATCATACATGTACATGTGTTTTCTTGCCCTTTTTGCACTTATTGGAGATAAATGATTATCATTTGGACAGATCATTTCAAAATATTCCAACACAAAGAACCACGATCCTGAAGTCCTTGAATATGCGTACAATTCTTAGACCTGTTATCCATACAGAGCCTGCATGTATTTGTAATGAGAGCTTCAGCTTAATACAAACAAGTCTTTAATTTTCAAAGTGGTAGTAATGCTTTCAAAGCTGAAAGGTCATGGTATTACCAGTAAGCAGTGGTACATGTAACACCAAGTGGAAGCGATAATTTATTTATTACTTCACAGCAAAAAAAAATTGGCAAACCAACAACTATAATGTACAAAACGATAAAAAATTAACGTTTGTGAAAGGTGAATTGATCATCATGACAAGAGTGTGATACAAAGAAAAAATCTGAGTTCCTGACAGGAATCAAACCCATGACCTCCCGAACACCGGGCAGGCACTCTATCCACTGGACTACGAGAACTCATGGAGAGCAAGGTCATTTAACCGAGTTCATATGTGACAGGTGTTCTGCATACTGCTAGGATCAGCACTGTCAAAGTCAATGTGAGTAATAATAAGTGAATAAACTCGGTAATGGAATGTGAAAGGTAAATTGATCAACATGACACAAATGTGGGACAAAATGTTTTTAGGTACAAAGAAGATGGTCATTGCAAAGGGGAGCCAGAGTTTGACCAGCTGCCATCACCAACAAGGCTCCAGTGGGATATCCCTGAAAAGGTACAATGCGACATAGCAAAATACCAATAAAATTATGGTGTGTCCTGCAACTCAAAGAAGGGAAATTACCAGCAATTTACTGATGCATGCAGTTTGAATTTTTGTACACACACACAAGGTTTATGCAATGTATATTAAAATAAATCAAGGTAAGTTTCAATTGATATTTTTGTTCTTCACTCAGTGTGTGTCCATCATTGAATCTTGTCAGAAGAAGGCAGAACTGCTGATCAATGATCTTGACCTTCATGTGCTTGTACACACTGCTTTTGGTAAGTTATTGACAATGTCATGCTGTTACTACTGAGTTATTGTAGTGTCATGTTTTGTTAAAAAACTGAGTCTTAAGATTTCCCTTAATCGCAAGCCACCGGAAAACAGACATGAAAATTACAGCAAACTATAAAATGTTAAAAAATGTCATTTTAAAACACTGGAAATTTATGTTCTGTCTGCTTTAGATAAGTCTTTGCAAGCAGCAAGTTAGTAATAACAATAATGTGATATTTTGAAAAGCTGTTGCTTACCAATCTTGTAATTTTTCTTTCAGGAAAGGGTGTCATAAAAAAGTGTCGACTTAGGTAATAGAACAAATTCCTTTATAACCTTTTTTTTAAAATCCAATTTGCTACCAAAGTTATCACATACAGTAGGCTGTGTGCTGGCTTAGTACAGCTACACTCTGCTTGTATGTGCATACTGGCCTCCAACTGAACTGACAGGCAAGACAGCTGTCCACTATTGCAATGTTCCTAAACTTGTCTAACATCTGTACAAACATTCGAACATTTTTTTTCACAGCCCAGACGCATTTATTCAGATGGGTCTTCAGCTGGCCTACTTCAAGGTTTGTGATTAATGAAGTTATGAACGTTAATTTCATGGCTTGCTGTACATTTATTTCGTTCATAAATACATGTTACTACATGTTATTATCATAAAAGACCTTTTTTTATTACTGGTAATAATTACCTTTTGCATGTAGTTATGCTATTTCACTGTTGATTATTGCTTCCAGGACCAGCAAACCTTCAGTTTGACTTATGAATCCTCCATGACCAGACTTTTTAGGTAATTATTCGCTCCGTGTTGTTTGTATTTGCATTATTTAATGTTGATGTTATGTTTAATCTACCACTTGTATTGTTAAGGAATCAGCCTTGTTACTGAAATGTTCTGTGTTTGCTTCAGGGAGGGACGTACGGAGACAGTCAGGCCTTGTACCACCGAGTCATGCTCTTTTGTCAGAGCAATGCTGGACCCTTCTGCTACAGTATGTGGCTTGTCTTCTCTTTCACTAAATGTTGCTTTTAATCTAACTTCTGTGAGAATTACTTCATTGTTACTGGCGGAGAGCAAGCAAACTTGTCACTAATTTTTAGTTTGCACTCCTTATAAATTGATGTGCACACTATCCCTAATCTTCTCAGTCGTAATAAATGAGTGTTTTACAGTACTTATGATATTTTGAAAATCATTTCAAATTGCTTTGGATGGCTGAAGTACTTTGCAATGGCCTGTTTTCCTACGATATATTTTGAACTGCTTCAGGAATTTGATATTTTTTTGTGAAGCAAACGTAAGAAAAGGAAGTTACTTTTTTCCCTTTTTCCTCAGAAATCTGTAAAGAAGGAATTGCTCGTAAAGGCTGCGGAAGCACATGTTGATGGTTTTAGGAGGGCGATGGCTGGGCAAGGTAAAATAGTTACAATTTATGTTATCATCATAAGTGGAGGTTGAAATAGGTATGAAACAAAATAGCTTGAACTGTCAGTTTTTTCACAGTTCCTATACCCTAGCCCCAGAGTTTGAGCTGATAGGCAACGAAACTACCTGGCATTTCAGGAAGAAAAATATGACAACAAAAAAATATAGTTATTCTAAAAGAAGTGGTGTTTTATTTTAGGTGTTGATCGTCATTTGTTTGGCCTGTATGTGGTGTCCAGGTACTTGGAGGAAGACTCACCTTTTCTGAAAGAGGTTTGTACTATCATCAAGAAGGTCTTAACGCTTGATAAGTTTGGAGACTGTGGTGGATAAGCATTACTCACTCTTTCGTTTTTTCACAGGCTCTCAAAGAACCGTGGAAACTTTCAACAAGCCAAGTATGTCATGAATCTTTCTTCGTGTACACTTATTTAGCCAAGTAATCAGAGTTAGTCTGGGCATGTGGATGTCTCTCAGACAGGTTTCTAACATTAGTAGTATTAAAATGTATATTTCCAAGACACTTTTATGGCTTTAGAAGCTGTGGGAATTCAATCTAAACTTCACGTTAACCTTCGTGTACTCTCTTATCTATTTTCGACAAAGTGCAGTGCCGGCAGCCTAATTGTGCAACAGACATCTGTGAGCATCCTAATTTCAGGAAGCAAAAATTCTTCTCCAACCCTATCATAAATCCCCGACAGATTATAATGATGACGTCACTATGCGCCAATCCCTGTGTCATATGCCATCAGCTTGTGTCTCAAGATTTAGGGAGTTTTAAAAGACGTTTGATGTATTCTCAGGGTGCGTTGTCCTGTGTCTTTGCAGACTGCAACTCAGCAAACCAAGAAGACAGACTACAATAAGTATCCAGAACAGAAAACAGCTGGAGGAGGTTTTGGACCTGTAAGATATGAACATACAGTTGAACCCCGCCATTTCCAACTCTCAGGGGAAGCGAAAAATAGTTCTAAATAGCGGGAGTTCAAACAATGCCGATAGTAGTAAATGACTAAAGGGCAAATCTCCTGGGGCGAGAAAGTACGCGGCCATTTTTTTCTCGCGGTTTTCTTTCGATTCACGCACGACGGACTAAGCGAAAGAGGGACTACTCATAGTCTACAAATCGCAGGAAAATGGTATGGAGTTCGAAATAACCGAGTTCGAATTAGCGGGGTCCAACTGTACCTTGATTGCGTTTTCTTTAATATTAGCTGTGGACCTGCGTTTTGGTGTATTTGCGTTGACTACGTGTTTGCAGTTTACTCTCTATGATTGGACTGAGGCAATTTTTAACTTATTTAAAGAGGAAAAGAACTATGTAATCAGTCAGTCAACGAGTAGCAACAGACAGCTGCCTCAGTCTTGTGAAGTATCAGAGTCAACAACGCCAGTTTGCCTCCACAAGAATTATATCAGTTAGGAAGTTACAGTATATTCCACAACTTTCACGAAGGATGATTCATGTGCTGTTTATTGCCAGGTTGCCGATGATGGCTATGGAGTGTCGTATATTATTGCTGGTGAAGACATCATCTTTTATCATATCACCTGCAAGGTCTCATCTCAGTTGACTGTAAGTATCTTTTTGCACTGTGCCGTTTTGTCTTATTACTGTACCCATATTCGCAATTAGCCAATCAGAAGGCGTTTCTACTGTACTAATAACCTGCAATACCAAGTCACTGACCTGATATGCCTATGGATGATATCATGGCTACTTGTCTGAGTTTGGGTACGGTAAATGCCTAATACTAACCGTACCTTTTTGGTGCGCTTCCCCAGTATGTCAGGCTCGTTTGGTCTTGCCATGGTTTGTATTTTAGCTCGACCAAACTCGCCTGATGTGCCACCTAATCGTACCAAAAAGGTACGATTAGGTAAAAATATTGAACAACTGTACAGTGTGAGCTCGAGTTCTCTGTCAGTTGACGAGGGAAGAATCCCCGAGTAGATATCGAAAGCTGAGGAAACCGAGAGCGAACGGTCGAACCGTTTTTACGTAGTCCGGTGGCTGAACTGTTAAACATAAAGTATCAATAAGCTGTTTTATTGGCAGGTATGTTATCAATCAAATTCCCAGTTTGCTATGGCAGTCAGTCACTGGGCTATGCTAATCTGTCACGTGAAGTGCATGTGATTTAGACTGGAAATTGATCCTCTTGGTCTTTTCGGAGATGTTGCGTGGTTTCATTTTCCCCTCCAGCTGCTCACCAATTGTAAAACTGTTTCTTTTTTTATCTTTTCATGCAGGACACCAAACGCTTCTCCGAGTTCATCAAAGAAAGTATGGCAGAAATGAAGGCCTTGTTTGAATAACTTATTTACACACCAAAAGTAAACGACCTATTCTTTAGCATAAACATGATAATTTATTTAGTTAGCTCAATCTCATTTAAAATTAACTTACCCACTACAGTTCCGTCTATCGTCTTTACAGTGCTTGTTCTCTTTCTAGCACAAGCTGGCGCAATTTCAAAAAGGTACTCGTATACCTGTATGCGCCATTTTGCGCCTACAGTTCACCTTTAAACATCCCCATTTTTCACGCGGTTTNGGGGGGGGCTTGCAGTTCGCAGAGGATTTGCAGTAATTGCATGTAGTGAAAATGGTATAATTATTTTAGAATATCGCTAGTGAATTTAGCGGTCGTTGCAGATAACGTTGCTTATATTTAGATAAACACAAGCAAAATGCCAGATGTATTCATTTCTAACAGTCTTTTGCAGTAGTCGTGAATGAAGAATTAAGCTTTTTGGGTGTAACAATTAGTAAAATAGTAGGGTGTTTAAGGCTTGAGCGTGTATAAACCAAGCATTGATAATGTTGTTAGATTTGATGCAGTCTTTTTGTGGCTGACAACAGTCTCCGGCATTTGCCAGCACTTCTACTTTGACGGATCAGTTAACACTTATATATGGCATCGAGCAAATGCTGAAACCCTAAGCCAACAAGCTGTGATCATTTTCTTGACGTTAAATGTTACCATGGCATCGGTATGACCTGTAAACACAAAGTTTTCAATAATGGGAGCGGGAGAAATTTAAGTGGCTCTGAACTCTCTCCGTAAACTTCAAAGAAAATTTTACTTTAACTTGCTAAGTAAAATTCGTTAATTAAAGTTGGGGGTCGTCGGACTTCGTTTTTGAGTTATTAACCCTTTTACTAATAAAGCTAATGACTAGACTATTATGGCATCAACGGAAAACGAATGGAAGCATTGATTCATCAAAGAAGAAGGGCTAAAAAACTTCTGGAAACTGTTGTGAGCCCCCTAAACCTGCGCATGGTGTATCAACTGCAGTGAATAGACAGAAGGCAGTAATGTTGTAAAGCCTACTGCCTGTTAATGCCTGATGTTTTACCTTTCCTAACTGGAATAGAGCGGATTCCAATTGAGTGTCGTAAAAACAGAACCAAAGTAATCACTCAAGCCAATCGCAGCGGACACAGGCAATCCAATGAACCAATCAAAACTCGAAGTAACTACATGTAGCTAACACGAAGCGCGGGAAAACGTGTGTGAGCGCGTCACGATTGGTTTTGGTTTTACTTCTGTTTGGAGGAAAAGTGGCGCGAGTTTTTTAAGCCAATCGTAACGCAATAATGCAAAACCAATTACTTTTCGACACTCAAGTGAAAACCACTCTATTAAGTGCATGCAATTAACTAACGCTAGCACTCCGTTAACGACGGTGATAATTTATCTCACTGACATTTTAACTTGGTTTGACTTGATGTGGTATCTATTATATCATGGTATTTTAGTATAATGTTTATACTATTTAACTATAAAAAATTGTGAAAAAGTTGTTCACAACCTTAAAACCATCTGGTTAAAAGTTAAGAAATTAAAAAAATTTTGACGACGTTTCGATGTTCACTTAACGTCATAACCAAGTCAAAGATGAATAAAATTGTGTGCGAATATAAATGTAAAAGAACTCCTAAGAGACACGAATTAGCATGATAAAAATGTGGTGATGATGTCGTCAGGTATTAGCACGCGCAGTCACGTAAAAAGTGTAGCGCGAATAGAGTCTTTTCGAGTGTTTAACACAGGTTTTAACACCTTAATGAAGAACATCTGGAAAATTAAGCAATCAAACTTCGATCTGCACTTTTTCAATTGCCTGCACTTTTTCTGTGCGTACCAATACCTGATTACATCATCACATTTTTATTGTACTAGTTTATGTCTCTTAGGAATTCTTTACATTTATATTCGCGCGCAATTTTATTCTTCTTTTATTCATCCGTCATTGTCACGATAAAGCGCATGTGCGATCTTGATTGACACAAATTTTTTAACCAAAAGATTCGTAATACTGTCGCGCACGCCGCCGTTTGTAAAGAATATTTGTCATGTTTATGTTGTGCGAAGGCCGTGTTCGTTTTACTTTCTTCCAACTTGCATGCACATCTGCAGCTATATAAATTTTCCGATGTTCGTCCTCCAATTTTTTCTTCGTTTTCTTTACTTTTTTTTTTCTTTCGAAACAAGACGGCTAAGGGGTGATAGTAGCTTTCGCCCCTAGCCGCTTCGAAAATCCCATCTCGAGGACATTGTATTCCTCGACGATATCCAACTCAGAACACAAAATATGTCTTTTAAATCTTTCATAGATGAGCAAACAGTACTTCGATATCGGTATTACCATTTTCACACGCCTCTCAAGATCGAAACGTCAATTTTTTTTAAATTTGTTAACTTTAATACCAGATGTTTTTAAGGTTGTCAACACCTTCGCACTTCTTTATAGTTAAATTAAATAGCAAATGTTTATATTCTTGGTATGTTGAATAGCTAGGCATAGGGTTTGAGGGTTGTAGTAGTGACGTTAAATCGTGTTCGTGTGTAGCACTGAATAATGAAGAGAACTTTCTTTTCTAATCTTTAAACAGTTATTGATCGAAGTATCAAAATCGTGCAAAGAGAAACTGAGATGAAAAGTTGTTTTCGTAAAATAGTTATAACTGAGCTAGCGGTTATTAAATCACTTTTGTAAAACCGATTTTTAAGTGATCTCATCTGTGCAATCGCAATAACCACCAACACCGCAGTGAAACAATCAACTCGCAGCAAAATTGCATGCCCGCTTTCAAGCAGAGGAGAATGCGCGCTGGTGTTAAGCCTGGCGAAGTTGGCATTGCTGCTGGTTTGTTATCAATAAATCTGAAAACGTTCTGTCGTTCTCAAGCATAAACCATTCTATCAAACCAGTGAATTGCCAGATAGTTGATATTTAGTGCGAAATAGAACGTCGACCGGCGATAAGATTTGTCGCAATTTGCTCGCTACTGAAATGAATTGAACAGCGTATCCTGAGTTTTGGAAGTCATTCAGAGAACGCAAGAATTTTATACACGGATTTAATATATACTTGCAACTAATTTAGGTGCGAGGTAGTTGCGAAAATATTTCTGTAATAAAACTTGCCTGATTTTGAATGTTCTGTTGTTTTATTTGTGTGTCATCATATTCGATTGGTATTTCTTGGCGCCTCTTAACCAGACTCCTTCCCGCCGGATTGCTTTGCTCTTCGCCGCTCGCACCTGTGACTCAAAGGTGAGCCTGTTCGTAGGCTATATGCAACGAAGAGGTGGATCTCAACCTTAACGATTGGAAAGGAACTGTATGGATATTATACCTTATCACTGGTACGCTCCGACGGCATACCAGGCGAGTTTTTTTTAAGCCATTCGTATTTTGGCGAGACGCGGTCGAGCATCGATTACCGTAGTCTCCCCCGCCGCCGTTTTTTAGCATGTCACGCAACGTTCCCCCAAAGGAGCGTTGCGTGATATGCCAAAAAACGGCTGCGGAGGAGACTACGATGACCGTAGGGAGAAAAATTACGGTCATTCCACTGAAATAGAACCTGCACTGAGATTTCTGTCAAACTTTGCCTATTGATTGTTTATATTATAGGAACTTAAATTTTGAAATAAAAATTAGGGGTCCCCATGTTCGTTTAGGAGCAACAGCACCTTGTTTATACCCATATAAATCCTTATAATAGCACCATGATTGTAGTCACGATTGCTTGCTA